CAGAATTTCGATGTTACAACAAAATAATCACCTACTTATTCATGTTATTTAAAGAGTGAGCTTACGAAAAAATATAAAATCTATTTATTAAACGGCGATTTAGGTATTTTGCCACCATATTCCTCCCCAAATATTTTTTTTCTGTCACAAATCCACACTCCACTTTTATAATTTTTTTTGGTTATGTGTTTCCCTTGAGGCCAAACAACACTTTAGTGAAGATCAAACGATTAAAATTACATAATGCTATACTTTTAATTATCGTGAATTTAACCACGTCTTTTCCAATTAGTGTCACTAGACAGTATAATCAGAGACATATAATTCATGTATTACGTGTATTACATGTATATGTCTCTGGTACATGTATTTTATATCTCTGGTATAATACAAATTGTATTTACATTGTACTAGCGGGAATTGTTCGTTAGACTGAAGCAATGATTTGTATTATAGTAAAATAAATCCTTGACCGAATAAAAGACTGGTCCAGTAATCAGAATTGGGGAAAACTTAAGATAAAGGTTATTTTGACTATTAATTTTTTTTTGTAATTTGAAGTTGCTAATATTTTCACATAGTTTCATAACATTCATGACATTAGCGGTAACAATTTTTATGGACCAGTAAACTTCAATCTATCTTTTTTTTTTGTTGTTGGATTCACAATTCAACTTTTAGTCAGTTTCAATCACTGTGACGAACCATTTCAATCTGATTAATACGCTTCGTGGCAGTTGTGTCTCAATTATAGAAACTCTTTGTTTTGAACTGTATATAGATCTAAACAATAAGACAATCCCTTACTACGAACATGATTTACATTCATTCTTCATAATTAACATACATCAAATCCTTCAATTTCATTGGTCTAGAGCACTTTACTATATTCTAAAGTTAAAGATACAACGGATAAGCGTTGAACCTTGAAATGTCTATTCAGAATGTAAAAGGTTCCTAGAACTGGCCTATATATTAATGTATATATACATAGTCATTCATTGTTTTGATTTGTTCATAACAAATCTTACCACTCAGTGTACTACTGCTACTTCTAAGAAGAAGTATAACTATACGGAATTATTTACTTCATAAAAGATAAAAATGGTCTTTGAAGTACTTGTAGTATACCAGTAAGTCTTTTTATTTGTTTTAGAAAAAAAAAAATGTAATTACTAGGAAACACATATATGTCGGACTCGGTGCGACGGAGACGTTAAAGTACAATGGTCTAAATCAAAGTGTGATGGTCCTTCAGCTAAAGTGTGATGGTCTATGAGACGCGTAGTATAGCTAGTTTAAAGTATACACATTTTTTGTTTTATTGTTTTCAAAATTAGATTGATTCGTTAGCATAAAGTTTTACATTCATTATTGTCCAAATAGAATTTATGGCATGTTGGTATAAAAGATATGTATGTGTATGGTTGATATAAAAGAACCGTTCCTACAACATGTACAATAAGACTGTTTACCATACACAGAAGAATTACTTGTATGTCATTATCGATTATGTTTGTTGCAGGGGTCTCGGTGACCTAGTGGTCTAAGTAGTCGAACTACTGTATCACTAGCCAGTCAACACTGAGATTGTGAGATCGAATCCCGTACGGGGCAGGTGTACTCCACTCCAATCTTAATTGACTAGGATTGTCTGTTTTCCTACCAAAGGTCGGTGGTTTTCTCCAGGCACTCAGCCTTTCTGTACCAAAAATAACTGACCGCCACGAAATAACACAATAGTGTTGAACGTGGCTTTAAACACAAAACGATCAATCAATCAATCAATCGTATACTGTTTGGATATCATCCATAGCTATTTACAAGATAGCGTCGCAATGCCACCATCGCACTTCAACGTGACCATAGTTTCATCGAAGTACCCTCTCGATTAAGAGTCCTATATATATGATATAGAGTTCGGATAGAACTGTCGGAATTATCTGTCAGAGAAATTCTGAAGATCTAAATTAGTTCTACATCAGAACACTTCTACCTTAGAATTGTCAGAATGTGTTCTACGGAAGAACTGTCTGGATTAGTTCTACGCTAAAACTGTCAGGTTCAGTTCTAGCATACAACTTTCCGAATCTGTTTTCGGTTAGAGCTTACACAATATGTGTAAGGCAATTGTATTGGCATAAACTATTCTTTTGGTATATTACATCTCCCTTTTAGAGCAGTTCTTTGATTAAGATTTATCCCCAGAACAGTAAGCTTAATTTACCTTGTAAGTTACATTTTTGGCAGAAAAAATAAAATATTTAAACAAATTACAGTCTTAAATGTATCGTTTAGTTTGGTTATTTAAATTTGACATGCGGTTATTCTAACAATAGTTCCTAACTCTGGTGTCTTTGTGGAATGTCTACAAAATAACAATAATGAAAGTTTATATAGCGCTCTATGTTAAAAAAAATAACGGTAATGCGCTTTTTCCTGCAGCCTGAAAATCAAGACAAAACATACAATATATCAGATGCAAAAATTTGACAAAAAAAAAAAAAAAAGTCTACCATGAAAAAAAAACATTTCGGAAATATGTATTAGAACCAAATAATAAAGTTTTAAACAATCTAAAAAATCATGGTAAAAGCTCTGACAAGGAATACACATTGTTGGAATTGAAATTAATACAAAACGAATAAAAAGCAGTTAGAAACATTCTGCATTAGAAGAATATGATTATTTCATGTCTCAATTTAGTAATATGTTAATCAAATGATATTGAAACATGTGAAAAGCAATGCGATCAAAATATGTTTTTTGCTGAAATATAAAAACTCTAGGGACTTCCATTGACTCAAACTGTTTTGAAGGTAAATGAGAAATGCCGCTGAGCAATTAATGAGGCACATTAATGTTGACAGATTCGCGAAAGTCCATTGTAAGCAGGACCGATACCATTCAATGCATATAACACATATACAAGTACTTTTTATTGATGTCTATATTGGACTGCTGCCTAATGTAACGCAGCCAGTATCGGCGAAATATGTTCATGCTTTCTTGTCTAGGTCATAAGAGGAATCATTATCACATACGTCATATGAAAAATTGTATAGGTAGATTGCTCCCAAATTAAAATACATTGTGTATAAGAAAAATAACACATGGTTAAAACACATGTATTATGTCCATCTCAAGATTTGCCTTACGTGACACGGTAATACTATGACTATTGTACTTATATTTTTATATAGCAGATGTGGTCGACCGGTCTAGAGCGCTGGACATGAGGTTAAGCGATTGGTGCTGTAGTGTATCAAAGGTGTGAGTTCAAATCCCGTCGAGGGACACAAAGTTATCAGCATAAAAATCTAATTTTAACACTGTTTGGTTCAATTTTCAGATATATTTATATACATAAAACGTCTGAATAATAGTCAACGATTTTTCATTTTTCATTGGTGTTGTTGTGTACACTTTTTTAGGCGTTTATACATATATATATGTATATATTTCAGCTGATCTGTAAAAATTCCATCTTCATGCCTTATATATCATGTACTGTATTACGACGCTAGATTAGAACTGACGAGGAAAGGTAACACATGGCCACCGAAAGCTTTATTATTGAAGCCTAGGTGGTCGTGTGGTCTAGCGCGTCGGATACAGTGCAGGCGATTTGGTGTCACGATATCTCAGTAGCATGAGTTCGAATCCCGGCGAGGGAAGAACAAAAATTTGCGAAAGCAAATTTACAGATCTAACATTGTTGGGCTGATGTTTAGACGAGTATATATATATATATATATACAAGTCTAAATTGAAAACAATATATATATAGTGTCGTAGACTTGTCACTTGTTGTGACTGTATCCTACGATCCTTTACGATAGGTATTTAGCTAATCTGCAATCAGTTCAATCTACATGCCTATTATATCATGTACTGTGTTACGACGCTAGATTCTACTGACAAGGAAAGGTAACAAAAGGCCATCAAAGCTGAATTTTTAGTTAGGTCTTGGTGGCTGAGTGGTTTAGAGCGATGAATACAGTGCAGGCGGTGGTGTCTCGATATGCCAATAGCATGAGTTCGAATCCCGGGAAGGGAAGAACAAACATTTGCTTCCGCAAATTTTCAGATTTAGCATTGATGTGCTGATATTTAGTGTAGTTATATATATGTGTGTGTTTTCAGTCTTGTATCACCATCACTGGTGATCCGATGGATAAAATAGTCGTCACTGGTTCAGACGTACATTAATTTGTAGGATCCTGAACACTCGATAATTCAACTGATCTGTAACAATTTCATCTTCATGCCTTATAAATCAAGTACAGTGTTACGACGCTAGATTGAAACTGACGAGGAAAGGTACCACCCGGCACCGAAAGCTTTAGTAATGTAGAGTCTATGTAGTCAAGTTGTCTAGCGCGTCGGGCACAGTACAAGGCGATTAAGTACCACGATATCTCAGTAGCATGAGTTCGAATCCCGGCCAGGGAAGATCAACAAATTTGCGAAAGCAAATGTACAGATCTAAATTGTTGGGCTGATGTTTAGACGAATTATATATATACAATGTCTCAAATGCAGGGTTTAGAATCCCGCTTAGTGAAGATCTAACATTATTGAGCAACATTTGAGACGAAGTATTTATTAATCATGGTGTAAGGCCTATATATCCACAGGTTATCCAACGCAGAATGTTTGTGTTTAAGTTGTAACACATTTGAACGTATGTATTAAAATTAAAATTTGATGTGTATTATTGTATTATTTGCAAACGATCAGAAAAAATGTAGTTTTACCTTGAAAGGTAGGTAGAAGACAAAAACCGGCACACATTTTAATGAATGTTTGTTTTAGTTAAAGGGAGACATATACATCTCACACTGTACTTTAATTACGAGAAAGGAACATAATTAATTATAGAATGTATGCAGAGATACAATATAAGCAATACTGAAATATAGTCGAAAATGCATTACAGATTTTTTTAAATATAGCATTCATTTATTCTACATGTTCATATTTATATACATATTTAGTTCTAGCAATGATTTTTTCGACTACGACGATGGGAACAGTTTCTATCATCTAAAACAGAAGATTGATAAAACATTTCCAAATGCTAATATAGAATGTAATTCAATTCGGGATGTTTATGATGGTATGTATATTCTGTCTAAATAAATATTTGTAAAAATGTACTATTATTCATTTAACGTTAATATAATAATAGAAATATGATCATCCAATTGCTCATGAAGAAAACTTGATATTGTGTAGGCATACGTTTGCGTTAGCAATGTAGATTCTTGTTTCCTAGACACGTCAGAACGTAAAAGTATCGTAGCCTCGTATGTGCACTTTGCATTTGACAACACAAATGTGTGATTCCAAATATTTAACCGTAAAATGAACGTATAAATATAGGTATTATGAAACGCAACTGAAATCACTTCGAAAGTTCTACCGTCACCAATTGATCGACCAATGCGATGGATCTATGCTCGTGAACATCTCATTAGACAAACATGATTGTACGATTTTTTTGTTTTAGATCTTGAAACACAAAAATATTCGTCCGATCAATAATGTTTTTACTCGAGTCAAGTCATTTTCATCTTGTCTTGATTCCCATGGCTGGTTATGTAAACATGTATTGAGGTTCATTTGTAGATGCTTACCTTGCCAACGCTCCTGATTTCGCTCCAATTTAGCCATGCAATTACTCAAGGATGTAGTCAGATGAAAAAAAAATCTGGAATTTAGAATTGATACTATAATCAGAAAAGCATCAGTTAAAAAACAAATTAAACTCAAAACACTGATAGGTTAAGGAACTCCATTTCGAGACGTTTTATTTTTTTTTCAAATGGTGGGGGAAAATCGGATGGTTTGTTTATGTTTAGCACTGGTAGAATTTGGTTCTCGAATCGTAATAAAAAGAACTCTAGGATCAGCTAAAACTTTAGTAAATGACCTTTTATGATCTTCCTTAGTCTTATATGAAAAAGAAAGTGGGTGATATGAGGTAAACTTATTACAGAACCAACTTTGTTATTGCACCTCGTACTCTGTTTGTTGATCGCATTAACTTGAAACTTCACATTGCTATATCATAATATGAACATGTGCATGTGGGTAGGATTTCCTGGTCCATTGATATTTTGTTGTTATGCCCTGGTAAACGTAGAAATTTTGACAGAATCGACATTGTTCGCGGAATTCCTCCTACGTGGTTTCAAGTACCAATATGAAACCTACTACATTGTTATAGACTTATTTACGAAAGATCTTGCGTGATTGACTTATTCCATCACAACTACTTTTATCTATATGTATATTTTTAGTTGGTGGTCCCTTCAGATCTTATGAGTGGTTAACTGTTACAATAGGAAAACGTAAATATTGTACTGAAGTGAATTGGCGGTCGAATACATTTTGCGACCAGGTAAGTCATGGTAGTCATTCGGTATATCGGGAAAACTTATTGTGTAAGAATAACTAACGGTGGACACTTATTGCGAACGTGAAATATCTGGTATCGGATCGTGAATGGCATTGAGTGTAATTTAACTTCAAAATCCTTGTATAATCTGCTTGTTTTTTTCAAACGGTTCAACAAATCAGAAAAAAGGAAAATATGTCTGTCAAATAGATCAGGTAATGCATTATTTTCCTCCTGAAAGACAGGTCGTCACCAGACTTATTGATCGGAAAACAATACTTCTTTTACTAATAGATATGATGTAATTGGCTGAAGCATGTTATTACCTACTGTATTTTTATTGAATAAATGGTAACACTGATCAAAGAATAAAGCGAGCCCTTGCCACACAGAAAATTATAAAACGTAAAAGACAGTCAAAATCAAGAAGTTACTCACCAGTGCAAAATTAAGCAAAGATGATATATCTCCATCCGTCAACAAATGCGGACATCAAAGCTGTTATTTTTGTAAAAAAATGTTTTGGAAATGAGTTTCATATGAAATTAAATCGGGAGAGAGTTTCACTATCAAACTCTTTTAGATGCGCACAAAGAAATTTAGATTTATGCAAATACTTTGCTTTCCCATTTTACCAATGTGACGACCAATTTACTGAAGAAACTGGAATGAATAAAAAATTCATCTTCATTTAAAAATTTTACAAACCTAGCTTGAAAAGATAAGACGCAAACTATGTAAGAGCTAGGTCCCTTTTGTGTATTATTCTTCTTCTTCTTCTTCTTCTTCTTCTTCTTCTTGTCTATTGTAACTTACATCATATGTTCAACAAACAATCTATAATTTTTCATCTTTAATATCTGCAGCTGCATATCATTGAAATAATGAAACGTAAGTGTACTGAACGTAGTAAATGTTTTCATAACTTTGTGAGACACAGTTGTTTTTATAGTTTGACCGACTGATATTTCATTTATTGGAGATGGACAATCAATGTTGGAGAACTGTCATTTGTTTACTGTATTCATTGAAATTGAGATTTGAACTGACTTTTAAAAATTTTAATACTCTTTGGTCGGCTTGTTTGTTTGTTTTTTTTGTTTTTTTTTTTTTTTTTTTTGTGCTTGGTGTTGTTGTAATATTTCGAGCCCTTTATATTATTTATTGTAATGATATGCTGTTTCATCAAATTCCGAGGTCAGGCGAGAGTTGATTTCTCATAACATGTAAATTTCTGCCAAAATATTTTTCATGAGCCTGTCCAAATTCATGTTATCATATATTGTGTAGCATATGTGTCCTTTGATCTTTATAGATCGCATCACAGGCAATCTTACCCAACCGCTTTATATGTATATAAACGATGTCTTAAAATTTTAATGTGAACATAGCTTGTTACCTCATAGAAATATACTATTAGTTAAACTGTTTGATATTGACTTCATACGATGCATGCGGGTCATTAAATTCCATATGTGGCAAGATCAAGCACAGATAGTATCATAACTCTACTACTTACATTTTATTTGCATTAAAGCTGGCCCATAAAACGTTTATTTAAAATAAAACACACCAAGTCACTAATCTTATATTACATATACACGATTCCCATGTGTTTGCTTTTAACCACTACTATTTCAAGGGGTGTCTTGCAGCTAATATAATCGGTGTTTTCCTTATTTTATTTTTATAACAAAACACTTAAACTTAGCTACAATGTATTTGAAACCAGAGAAACTGATAATAAATATAAACGGAGGCAATACATTTATGAAAGAGGAATACGATTGTTTTAGCGCCTTGATAACAATATATTGCTTTACTTTCTAGATAATAAAAGAGATCAGAGACGGCCTTGAGGAAGCAAAAGACAGAGATGGCTGGTGGTACTGGTTGAAGAACAACCTCTTGTAGCTGCTTACACAATACGTCAATAGACAAATTACAAAATGTTGCTTTTCCTGACCATATACCAAAACGTGTACTGGTGATACATGAATATCATAAATTTTTGCAGGACTTATGAGTTGAATACTTAATTATATTTTATGTGAATACAACGTTAATAGTTGCATTACCACTAAAAGGTGTTTTGTTGTGATTTTGAATAGACCTTCTTTTAATATAATTGATTAACGCTTAATTTTTCTACAATTTTTATTTTAAAATTACAGTTTTGCCATGTTTTAATGAGAGTATTAGTATTGTATTTACCGATATTGTCCATATAGTTTTGGAATAAATGTTGAAACATATTGATGTGTTATAGCAATTAAACCAGATCACGCTATCAAGAAATACCATTAATATGCATTGCATAAAAAAAACAAGGATAAAAAGGCTTATAAATTTGATATCCTGATGCGAGTTTTATTTTTGACAACAGCCTGTTCAACCAAGAATGGTGTTTTTTTTTTTTTTTTTTTTTTTTTTTTTTTTATTGTACATCATCACGTGGCATTAAATTCGTGTTGCCAATTCTTCTTTGCTAACAAATTGTATATTTCCTTAATATACAAGCAACTCAAATCTTTCATTTTGATATAATCATCACACATGACTAATAAATCAAATGTTGAAAATTTCATATTTGAAAATAAAAGGGCTATGATATTTCACTGACATCATGAACAAATCAGAAATATGTACCTTCTGTTTAAAGGAGTAGGTGCGGTAAGGGTCGATTTTGGCCTCAAATTTCAGATTCATCTGATGAACGAAATTTGGACACATTTAAAAACTTAAATGTCTACTTCAGTCAATTCAATTAGCTTGTGTGAAAGATTTGAACTGATAAATCATTTCAGACGCTCAAATTCAAGCTTAAATATAAAAAAAATCTATCAAATATGCTATATTATATCACTTTTCAGATGGTTTTTCTTAAAAATGAAAGTTGCCGCATCCGTATTCACTCTCAACCAATGTATATGTTATGTATTATCATCAAATACAACTTATACATTTAAATATTAAGATTGAACAGAAATGCTGCCACTTCCATTTAAGACGGAAACTGTCTAAAATTTAACTCAAATGCTAAAATTGTGAAGATTTCAGTAATTTAGCATGACTTAATGATGCTAGTACCCGATATATGTGCATTGTATTGTAAAAAAACAGCCCATGTTTATGTAGCAGAAGAATTCTACTTTCCAATAAATACCAAAAAGTTTACATTCTAGCTATTTTGTAAAACTGCTATATTTTGGGGCCAAAACGGGGTCTTATTGGACCTGCTCAATTGTACTACTTTATAACTTTTCTTTCTAAGTTAGAAAATTGAATCATTCAAAAGAAAATGCATATATTCGTAGAATCAATGTGACAGTAGTTAATATGTTTTCTTTGATGAACTATCCAATGAGATATTTGCATTGTTTACCAACATATGTTTCATCACTTGTTTTCAAAGAATCGTTTGACTGAGTTTCAGTTTCAAACAAGTTAGACTGTGAACCTTGTAAATCATAGGTAAAACCCGACTTGTTTTTTACCCGAGCATAGAAGGCCAACCTCAATTTTAGTCTTTTTTTTTTCTCAACATGTGTCTGGTCTGTCGTTAAGCATGTTGTCTGTCTTATTTTCCCTTAAAGGAGACCTGACACGAAATCGGGTTTTTGCTTTATTTTCTATAATTTGGCTTGAAAGAGGTTTGTGTTAAGGTTTTTTCATCTACAATTAACCAGTTTCGTATATATAGGTCAATTTGATTGACATCTCATTGACCTGTGAAATATGCAAAAATTCATTGCGAAAACGAGGCTCTCGAGTCTGTGACGTCACAGGCACTTTACGATCATTCTGACTGACAGCATCAATCACTCATCATTATCAATAGAAAAAAGAATCAAAATACGATTTCGTGGGACACTGACATTAATGCAAACCAGCCATGGTGTACTGTGCAGCTAACGGGTGCAACAATGAAGCAAAGAAAGGCACTGGTATCAGTTTTTTTCGTATCCCAGCTGATGTTCAACTCCGGAAGGTGTGGACACATTACTGCAGAAGGTGGAACTTTGTACCTGGACCAAACCACGGATAATGTTCGGTGCATTTCTCCAAACAGAGTTTTTATGACACTTTTTATGAATAGAATCACTCGTGTATGATCAATGAGTTCATGGGCACTTTAAATTTCAATAAGATTTGAATTTTTTGTTTCACCGACATATTTCCTGTCTATTTATTAGAATATTTACGTTAGCATCAATAACTATATTTTTTTCAAACAATTCCAGTATATTACTATTCATATCAGTACACTAAGGGATTGACCATTTAACTTCAAAATGGGGGTTATGGTTTTTTCCTAAAAAAATATTCTGATCCCCAATTTTATGAGAAAAAATGTATTGTGGTCAAGCAGATGACAAAATACTGTTCTGATTCCTGATTTTCTGAATATCGTGTATACATGTAGTAGTATTTTTTTCCAAAACAAATATTAGGGTGATAGCGTTGAAAAACTTAATAATTTTTAACTCAGAAAAAACATACCCCCCCCCTTTTTTAGAAGCTAAATGGTCGGTCCGTAAATGTATTTTTTTCAATATATGGACATGAATAGTTTTCTGGACAATGCTAAAAGTAAAGAAATGTTGGTACCGACGTTTATATTTCAATAAAAAAGACAGGAAATATATATATATAAAAATCAAATCTAATCAAAAGATAAAATCCCTATCAACTCACCAATGCACGATTGATCCTATAAATAAAAAGTGTTCGTGTAATACATGTTCAAATAGGCAGCAAATCTTGAATAAAAATTATTCAACTTATGTCACCAATTTTGGACGGTAAGCTGCGATTGGATCATATTGTGACACGTGTTTAATCCTGATCATCCCTATTAGAGACATATAAAAACTTAAAAGCATAAACAATTAAAAAAAATCCAAAATATATGCCTATATATATCTGATAACATGACGAAATCAATTTTTTCATAACATTTCATTATGAATAGGAAATTCATTCTTTTTATACATTTTTATTGTTATTGAATTCATATTTATTGAATTCATATATTTAGGAGCAAACGTACAATTTTTATTAGTCTTTAAGGGGGAATGGGGGAATGGAATGGCACATCCTGTATTTTTCAATAAAAAAAGGATCAAGTCTGTTTATTTTAAATTTATTTTACCCTATCCCCCCTTTTTTCCGTTTTTCCCCAAATAAAAAAACAAATGTTAGCTTGCACACCACTGAAATCCTTTTCATACATTACTTACTTGCGAAGTTGCATTTTAAAAAGTCTTAAATGTGTACGACATTCATCTTTTACTTGACATGGTTCTTTTTTTAGAAAATTGTTAGATTCTTGAATTTCTTGAGAAAAAAAAACTCTCGGCTGAAGGGAAGTGAAAAAAAAAGTTTGTTTAAACTGTAACTTACATTAACTGGTATATGGCCATTTAAGTTTCTAATCTGATTAATTTTGCTACCTCTTCTAAATGCAAAATGTACTACTTCTTTCTTGAAACGTCGTACAAGTCAGATACAAAACAAAGGTAACAAAAAAACAGGCCGGAAACAAACTGCCGTATAGTTTTTCTGCACTTATAGTCAGGTCAAGGTCCTCGGCTATCGCCTCGGACCTTCACCTGGCTACTCGTGCACAAAAACTATCCGGCAACGGTTGTTACCGGCCTGTTTCTTTGTTACCTTTGTATTGTATCTAATACATAATGCATATTTTAAGGTTTTTCTTGTCGTAGAACACACCGAGGGGTGTCAGGATTGATCAAATGAAAGACCGACCGTAGGGAGTTCTTTCTTTGGGCAATCTTGACACCCCGAAGTGTGTTCTACGACAAGAAAAACCTTTAAATATGCATTATCTGACTTATATACCGTCAAAACAATATTGTTTTTTATAAAGATTTGCAAAATTTAGCATCCTATTTTACCGACCACACTAAAGTAGGATATTCCTTTCTAATGCGTTCAAGTTTTAATACGCCCTACGGCTCATTTAGAATGTGAAATAAAACTCACTAATTAATCTAGATATAAACCTTAGAAATTATTATCCATACACAATAAAAATATTACTGTAACTGCATGAAGTAAGACACAAATGAATTGTTACCATCCGATGACGGTGTATGAAAAATACAAGACACTTTGTAGGTGCTATGTTTTTTTGTCTATTTGTAATGACATTTTATCGCGGAAAAGTTATTATTTTTTCAACAATTTTAATTGAATCGAATGAAATATTCAGAATGATTTTCTTTTGAATAGCAATACATTTTTTAAACAGATAATCAGGATATAAATTATATACCCTCCCCCCACCCGACCTCATTGTGAGGTACGTGAATGTTATTCAATAGAATATAAGAATATTCTATTAGTTAATCATTTGATAGAGTAAAAGGTATACATAAATGTAAAAAAGTTAAGAATTGACACGAAGGGGGCACAAAATCGTGATACATGTATATGTTACACGAAAACGAAAATCAATACATGTAGATCACAGTATGATTTCCTATTCAGTGTGTATCGGCATGAACATGCATGAAACATTTGCCACTGGACGTTAAGTAACCATCAATAAATCAACCTATTCAGTGTGAATCAATAAGATTTTCAAAATCTTACACACGAATATGTTAAATCTGGCTTTATTTTAAAGTGTTTAGAAAGTTTTACATTAAAATTCATGTCACATATATGATAATGTCTCTGTATTGTAGCGATACATTAACAAAACTTCACATTATTTGTTTCTAAAATCAAAATTCGGGCAATGACGATTTTTTTTACACCTATCATAGATTGAACTTTAAAAAATAAATTCCCAAATCGGAAACAGAAAATATCAGACGAATATAATTTTGAAGTAAATTATAGTTTGCATTTTTATCAAGGAAAATAATGACCTCACACAGGTCATTATTTTATGCCTTTAATAGTGTGTTCCACATATACCCGACACCCGATGATAATTGCAATTTTTACATTATACTCTTTCTGTTCTTGGTCTACATGTAGGTCTAAGTTTAGGACACCTACAGAGGTTACAAGCGGAACACTATATTTGGTATATTTTATTACATAAGATGACAACATATTGGGGGAACCTTATTCCATACCTGGACAATTGAAGGCATTACATTACTGTCGAGCATCATCCTGTTCTAGGAAACTACTGTGCGATTCTTATCTGATTTCTACTGTCCACGTCAACCTGTGTATGTATTCAAAGGTGTTTTTTAGAATAAAATTGTGCCCG